TCTAATGCATATGTTGGTTGTACCAGTGACTGTGAAATAGTTGAAAGATGTAGAATAGTTCAATTATGTGATCCAGGTGACAGTGTGATGGCAGACAAAGGTTTAAATGTGCAAGATTTGTTTGCTCACTTTTTTCAAAAAAAGAAACAGAATTAGTTCCAAAACTCATATACGGGATAGAAAAGTCTCCAATTAACACGTGCACATAGAGCTGATTATTGGACTTGGCAAAACATACAAAATTCTAATAAATCCTATGAATGGAACTGAAACAATACTTTCATCTGAAATAACATTTAGTTGTTTTATGTTGTGTAATTTTAGAACTTGTATTGTGCCAACATGACATGGCCAAAGGATGCATAAATAAAAGTGACGCAATGAAGTTTGTTCTGATATATACATGTATATATTTACAATTACATGCACATGTAAATTGTAATGCATATAAAAATAAGGAAATGTGGTATGATATTCAGTGAGTTTATCAACCAAAGTGCATAAGAAATGGGTTAAGCAGTTACAGGTGTTACTGTCACCGTACAATCTCCAACAATGAGAAAAACTTGTACCGTGTAAAAAATTTCAGAGATCTTACAACTAAGTTTTGTTGTCTCACCTTGACTTTGGTGAATTGTTTATATCTGTTGATGTAAATATAAAAAAGAAGAAGTGGTATGATTGCCAATGAGACAACTCTCCACAAGAGACCAAATGACACAGAAATTAACAGCTATAGGTCACAGTACGGTCTTCAACATTGAGCAAAGCACATACCGCACAGTGAGCTATAAAAGGCCCCGAAATGACAATGTAAAACAATTCAAACAAGAAAACTAACGGCCTAATTTATGTACAAAAAATGAACGAATAACAAATATGCAACACACAAACAAACCACAACCACTGAATTACAGGCTCCTGACTTGGGACAGGCAAATACATGTACATACAGAATGTGGCGGGGTTAAACATGTTAGCGGGATCCCAACCCACCCCCTAACCTGGAACAGTGGTGTAACAGTACAATATAAGAACGAACTATAATAATCAGTTGAAAGAGGCTTAACTCATCAGATGGATAAATACAAATACAAGTGGATGTGGCCAGGTAGTTGTACATCCAAACAACAAAAAGACACTAAGTACAGATCTGAGAGTACTCGCATTTACTGACAGCTAGTTCAAAGCCACTAACAACTGATAAAAAAATCTTGCATCTAAGACTAAATTATCAATCCGTAAGCTCCCTTTAGAATTTTATAAATTTTAGATTTTACATTTCTGAGTTATGGGGTTTTATTCATTAACAAAGGGGGCATTTTCCAGTTTTTGGACAACAACTCAAAAATGCTTTAAGCAGTTCGCATGAAACTTTGGTGACTTATTTATAGCTATTGATGTAATCTCCCTATTGATTTTCATTAATTTCAAATATGACATTGAGAAGAAATTGAACTTTATTTGTTTATAGTCTGGCAACAGATTTATTAAGTATTGCGCAACATCACAGTGTATTGCACAACAGCAAGAAATCTTTAATTGAATATAAATTCAATTCATATAACTGATTTCAAGTTCTTTGACTACATTTATTCAGAAACTATAATATGTCAAATATTTAATTACAATCCAAATTCAGACCTGTATCAAGCTTGAATATTGTGTCCATTTTTGCCCAAACTGTTCAGGGTTGGACCTCTGCGGGTGTATCCAGCTGAGCTCAGCGAATCAGTTTATTTCTTAATTAAGAACTCCTTTTTGTCGAGTCTGCGTCGCAGAAAGCTCGACATAGGGATAGTGATCCGTTGGCGGCGTTAGCTAACTTCTTAAAAGCTTTATATTTTAGAAGGTGGAAGGTCTGGATGCTTCATACTTTGTATATGGATGCCTCATGTTACGAAATTTCCGTCAGTCACATGTCCAATGTCCTTGACCTCATTTTCATGGTTCAGTGACTACTTGAAAAAAAAGTTAAGATTTTTTGTAATGATAAATTCTCTCTTATTATAAGTAATAGGATAACTATATTTGGTATGTGCGTACCTTGCAAGGTCCTCGTGCCCGTCAGACAGTTTTCACTTGACCTCGACCTCATTTCATGGATCAGTGAACAAGGTTAAGTTTTGGTGGTCAAGTCCATATCTCAGATACTATAAGCAATAGGTCTAGTATATTCAGTGTATGGAAGGACTGTAAGGTGTACATGTCCAACTGGCAGGTGTCATCTGACCTTGACCTCATTTTCATGGTTCAGTGGTTATAGTTAAGTTTTTGTGTTTTGGTCTGTTTTTTTTTATACTGTATGCAATAGGTCTACTATATTTGGTGTATGGAATGATTGTAAGGTGTTCATGTCTACCTGGCAGGTGTCATCTGACCTTGACCTCATTTTCATGGTTCAGTGGTCAAAGTTAAGTTTTTGAGTTTTGGTCTTTTTTCTAATACTATATGCAATAGTTCAACTGTATTTGGTGTATGGAAATATTTTATGATCTATTTGTCAGTCACTCAGGTTTTTTTTTACCTTGACCTCATTTTCAAGGTTCATTGCTCAGTTTTAAGTTTTTGTGTTTTGGTCTGTTTTTCTTAAACTATAAGCAATAGGTCAACTATATTTGTTGTATGGAAGAATTGTTAGCTGTACATGCCTGCCTAGCATGGTTCATCTGACCTTGACCTTGACCTCATTTTCTTAGTTCATTGGTCAATGTTTAGTTTACTTGGTTAATGTTAAGTTTATGTGACAGTTGTAATAAAGCTTTATATTTAGGACTATCAACATAATATCAATGATTAGTAAAGAAGGCGAGACATTTCAGCGTGTGCACTCTTGTTTCATTCATAAATTACTTTATACTTGGAAATATAATTTTGCTTGGAGTTATAGTTTCTAAAAAAAGTATTGTCATTGAAAGAGTTGACATGTTGCAATGTACATTTATTCTACATAGTTCTATGGTACCAAATCAAAAGTTTATATAAAAGAAAGAAGTCAAAGGTTTCCCATCATAGTTTAGTTACATACATTTTTTTTGTACCTGAGGTCGTTGAATATAGATCATTATATAAATAAGGAGATGTGTTATGATTGCCAATGAAACAACTATCATTCATACATTGTACTTACCAGTAACAAACCACATTTGCAAAGTTGAATAAAATACAGTTGATAACATTTATTTATTACTAAAAAGAAAATGCCAAACTATTTTAAACAGTATTTGACTATTAACATAGATAAAAAAGGTACAAACTGGACATAATGCACTAGTTCATAAACAAGTGAGAACAATCGCCTTCATATAGTGCTCAGAATATGACATTCATAAAACTTGTTCAATATCATTAGAGAACTCTAAATCTTAAATACTGAAAGCCACCTCTGATAAGTACAATGTACTATGCAAGATAATGATATAACTGGACTAAAAATACACACAACCTGTAATTAACTGCCTTTACAGCACTTTCGTGCTTTGATTTTATTACCATGTAGGGGTCCCATACTATGGCTCCATATTAAATTATAAGATCCATTCCTAAAGATCTAGATCATTGTTCTAATCTGACACAAATTTCAATAACTGGAATGCTACCCAAGTTGAATATATGGTGACCCACGAGAACAGCATTATCACTATTGAAATTGTGTTTAATACCATGATTGTTCAATGTCATTAACTTAAATGGAGACAGACACTTGACCTGAAAGACATGAAAGGTGGTGTGGGAGTGCAAAATCAAAAACTAACTGACTATGGTTAAAGAATGAATATCAATTACATGGGTCAACATGGTCAAGGGCAGAGTTGTTATAAAATAACAATATGGCAGAGAAATGGTTTCAAGTTTCATATAAAGCGACCTGACTGACATGAAATAAAAAATCGAAGGAGTATCCCTATTTGTCTAATCTTCAAGGTGAAATAAAACTAGTAAAACAATATTATACTATTGTCTAAATATACAGAAATATAATTTGCTTCAAGTAACAGAAATAACTAGGTCACTAGTAACTTATTTAATGAGTATGTGGGGTATAAGAGCTTGCTAACAACAGGCTCTTCATAATCATTTAGTTTGAAAAGGATACTAGTAGTCTATATTCTTGATTTAGAAAAATGTAATTGCAAGAAAAAAATCACATTACTTAGAATACTTTAGATCATTCAGGTAGTCTTTATTTATATGTACAAAAGAACAGCCAGTAGTCATTGGATATTGTAGATCATTTAAATAGTCTTGACCTTTTTATTAGTACAAAAGAACAGCCAGTAGTCATTGGATATTGTAGACCATTCCGGTAGTCTTGACCTATTTATTTATACAAAAAAACAGCCAGTAGTAATTGGATACTGTAGATCATTCAGGTAGTCTTGACCTATTCATTTGTACTGAAAAAACAGACACATATACGAATATCAATTATATGCTTACGAGACATGTTGCAATGTAAAACTTATTACGGTATGTGAAAATCAAGACTTGCATAAAAAATATCACAATATTAGAGACAGTGGCGTCATTTTTCCTCAGAGCTTTCAGCTCTTTGATTAAACTCATTTATGTCATTGGAAAGCTTTAATAGTATAAAGTTTGAAATTTAAATTCAAACTTTGTCCCTCAGACTAAACTTAATTTTATTAGATTTATAATTTATTTTTTTACAGTCAGATAAAGTTCAGAATTATAGTTATTTTCAAATGATTTGTTTTACTGAAAAAATATAGAGGAATGGATAACAAAACACAAAGAAAGAATCAACTTTTTATTTCTGTCCTTCATTGCAAAGCCACATTGATGCACAGTGAAGTTGGAAAATGATTACCCTACATGTTTGGTGTGCTGTAACTCTAGTTTTAATCCACTGCTTTCACCTGTAATATGCATGATGATGTTTTAAGAGAATTTCTGAGAGGTAACCAGTATATGTTGACATTGATATGTAATAAACCCTGTTGTATAGTACATCTTTTATTCCCTATTCTTTGTTGTAGGTGAATCTAAAGCCTGCTCAGCAGTGACACACAGTCCTCTGTTACACCAAATCCTAGAGCAAGTACCTGCTGCTTTTGATATCAAAATGGAGGTAAGTATTATTAAAGAAACCTTTAAGAAATGAGCCACTCAAGTGTTATATAGAAATGCTAATAATGACATTAACTGATATTGTAACTCTGACTCTTTCCCTCAATGCATGACAACATTACAAAATTGGAATTAGAGCATTTACTGTTATATATCGGTTAATATAAACTACCAAAGGGAGATAATCCATAATAAATATAAATCCTTTAGCTATTTATATACAATGTATATATATATTCAGAAAATAATTTCCCCCTTTGATAACATTCTTGAAAGGATAGTAACTATCTGTGTACCCTGGTGTTAGTTTTATAATGAGGATGGTTGTTTGTCACACCTTCATGACACAATCTTATAAGAAAGACTACTATATTCTTTACAAGTCTTAAATGCAGCCAATTGTATTTATGATTGTGTCACCTGACAGCGTCCAGCTTAGATCACTTCTGCCTTTTTGTGTCTTTGTTGTCAGCATCACACCTTGTTAATCCTCAACTCCTTGAAAACATCTTGACAGAATTCAACCAAAGTTGCATGGATTTTTCTATAGGACATTAGATTGTGCACCTGCTACTTTAATTTTGATCCAAGTGATTTTTTGGGGTTCCTGTACTAAACAATTTGAATAAACCATTAGTGCTAATATTAGTTTGGTAATCATTTACTCCTTTAAAACAGCATGACAGTAGTTCTGTTTATTTTATTTGGAGATGACTGGCGACTCTTTGTCCTCCTTTGAAGACTCAACTATGATTTTTTTGTAAAAAGACTACTTTCACACAATGAAACCAGTTCAAACTGAATCTTTCATCAGTCTGAATTCTATCTAAACTGATCTCTTGTTTGTTTTCTATAAAAATGTAAACTATTTAAACCCAAAGGCCTGAGATGTCTTACCAGAACAAAATCTTCAATTCCAATATTGTTATATATACCAGTTTATAATGTATCGATTAATTGTCAATTGGCCATGGATTATAAACTTCTCGAATGTACCGGTATATTATGTATTGTCTTGTAATTTCAGGCATTGTATGTGTTATGTAATTTAGCCATTCACGGAGAAGAAATCTGTAGTTACCTTGTTGACAATGGAGTTCTACAGCAAGTTACACCAGTTTTAAAGTCATCAGATGTAGAAATTTTAAATTTAGGTCTATCCTTAGTAGAAATGGCTCTTAGAATGACTCAGAATGTAAGTATACCTAACTAAGATGTTGGAGGTCAAAATAATTGAGACCAAGGTCATACTGTAGGTACCAATTTTTGTGGATTGAGGAAATCTTGCATTTTCATGAATAATTGCTTTCATGGTTTTGCCAAATTCTGTATATAATCCAAAAGAAAATTTGTAACTTGTTGGAACATTTAAATTTGTGGTTCTCCTGTTCCAACGAAATCCATGAAAATTGCTATCCCACAAATAATAATGAATCACAGTACTTCCTGGATACTATTACCAAGTGTTTAATGACCTTGACTACCAATAAGGGTTTTGCACAGATGGCTTTAAGCCATTTGGGGTATTAAATATAAATTATTTTTAACCTTTCAGTTATAGATATAATGTACAAAAACATTTTGAGGGTAATAAAAATATCGAAAAAATAAAATGTAATTCTTAAATAAAAGTACAAAAGGAACCAAACTATTGGTATTTGCAAAACATATGTTTATATATATGTTATGTTATTAGAAGTTAAAAGGGAAAATGTTTTTAAAAATGAAGAAAACTTGGTCCTGAAGTCATCAAATCAGCGAAAATATATTAAGGACTCTTACAACAATATAAAGCTGACTGCATTTTCAAAAATGTTATTTGATTTTAGGAAATGTAAACTTTTTTTAGCCTTCAAATAATATAATATTAATTCTTTATTGTTATATAAATAAACCTGATTGATACTTGTGACAAATACAACAAAATAATATAATATATATTAGCTTTCAAAGGGAGATAATCCAGAGGGAAACATGAAGCCCTAAGGCAGATGTCAAAAATGTTATTTGATTTTAGGAAATGTAAACTTTTTTTAGCCTTCTAATAATATAATATTAATTCTTTATTGTTATATAAATAAACCTGATTGATACTTGTGACAAATACAACAAAATAATATAATATACATTAGTTTTCAAAGGGAGATAATACAGAGGGAAACATGAAGCCCTAAGGCAGAGGTCAGAAAATATCCACTCTTTGGTAACTTTCTTTGTTGGATAGGGGGAAAAACAGTATTTCAAATGATATTGTTGCCTCTTAATTGTAGGGTTGTCATGTATTTGAGGAGTGTGATGGAGTGACAAGGTTAGAGGCTCTAGATTACCACAATAACGATACAATCAGACACCAAGCCAGTGAATTGTTAGATGTTTACTTTTATGGAGAAACACAGGTTTGTGAAATATTTTTCAATGGAATAATAAAACTAACAAATACAATCTTAGTCAAATTACAATATTTTTTTAAGTTTTGTATGATATTTTACAAAGCATCATGAATAAGTTATTGTGATGTATTAATTTTCTGTACCTATGAAAATTTGTTAATTACAAACACATATTTGCCCTTTAAAATTATAAAGTTACATATAAATAAATGTATATACAGGGTATATATATATATATGTAAATGAGATAACAGGCTGACATTGCTATTAACCAAAAACAACATATGGAGGTCAACTAAAATTAGATTGGTTCTCAAACCATATGTCAAGCTCTAAATGGCCCTCATCTAGATAAATCATGATTGAATGTAACAGTAACTATAAAGATATTCTCCCAAAAAAACTAAGTTCCCCCAATTGACAAAAATAGTAAGGTGTATAGAATTACAACCATTTGATAATGTTCTTGTTTTGGGACAAGCACACAAACATGTGACAACAGTCAATATTTTATGTTCATCTTGAACTATTTTCCATGTCTTAAAAATATTTCATTTATCATACTTTTAGGAGAGTTATAATTTTTTCCATGAATTCTGCCAGCACAAGATATACTTTAAATGTTCACCAGTTTGTTACCTTGAGATGACAGTAGGTACTTAACATGAATTTATGATAATAATTATTTATTTTTCAGGAAGGTGATGGATGAAGACATTGTCAAATTAACCATTAAAAAGACAGAATTATATTAGGCAGCAATCATAGTTTGCTTATCTTCAATTATACGAGATCTTCCAGCATGAATTATGAGTCACTATTTATGTAGAATAAATAAAATTATTCAGTGCTTAGTTTATAAAAAAATGTATTAGTCTGACTGCCAAAACTTAACAGAAGCCTACACAAAAATCAAAAATCCACATCAAAAGTATAAGTCTAATTTCAATTCACAAAAAATATTTCTGGAATAACAAATAAGAAAGCTAAAGACTTAAGTTTGAGAAGCCAAAAACAAAAGGTTTTGAGGCTAAAAAAACAAAAGGATATTGATAAAACAACCAGAAACCTAAAGTCAACATTGCCTGAGAGATTGAAACCTAACATTTAGTTTATTACTAATAGGAACATCTTCCTCTTTAACAGGTTAAACCTGTCTCATTTTATGGATCAGTAGTAATAAAGGAAGTTAAAAATAAGTGCAATCAATTTTTATGTATTTAATCTATTTTACACAATTATAAGATGGAAAATTTATTATGTATTTTGCTTTTATGTTTAAGATTGTAATGAATTACAAGCTTATTCAGTTTTAATAAACATCATTAGTAAATGCATGTGTTAGTGTGATTTATTACTCAGATCAGTTATGAAAGTGAGAGGGTACACTTAATTGTATGATTATGATAAATAGGTCATATACCTGGTGATGGTTGAAAGTTACTGTGTAAATGATTGAATAAAAAGTAGAGAGTTAGATGTTAATGAGACAGCAATCCAACAAAATATGGAAAACAGAAATAATATCTCCCACAGTTTTGTATCCACCCTAGTATACATATTGATGAACCCAACATGTCTGTGCCAATATAAAGGCTATACAAATTAGGTAAGTTATTCACTGATCATTTACATGTGTTATAGGACTCAGACATCTTCGATCAATCCAGACTAGCATATACCATTGCAGATTCCATACAGTGGTGTAATACCAATGTACAATTTAATAAAGCTAAACTAAAAGTTCTTATTTTACATCCTAATAGAAAAACAAAAGATACAGGGTATCCATCTATGACACAGTACATGCACATCAAAAAACACACAAAAAGCAGAGGAACAGCGCTTTTATTGCTGTTCTTCAAAGTGAGGCCTTCAACACGGAGCAAAAAAGCCTCTCACATACTGCAAGTTTAAGACAGCCCCTGGCACTGGTTTGAGTGGAATTCTTTGCAAAATGATTCGGATAGACTGTGTAAGATGTAACACTACCAAATTGGGCCTGTCCAAAAAGAACATACTGGAAAGTAGTACTTATTAAAAACAAATAGTTAACTGGTTTATAGAAATTACTTCAATATTATGAATTATGAAGACATACGCATCTATCACATGAAATGAAAGAACAATATGGGGGAATTTTCAAAACTCTACATGCTCATGGAGTTACTTAATTAACTCTTCTTTGAAATACTGCCACTGATGGGGTCAAAATTTTTCATATGGTTCCTATACCTTTTTGTGTAAATTTCATTGAGTAAACAATGCAAATTATTTTAGATTTTAAAAGAAATCAATATGAGAATCTTTCTCTAAGGGGGCTGACTTAAAATGATAAACTGATGAACATATGATGCAAATATATTTGATGAATCCCCTTTTTTGTTTGCTCTTTCTGTTAATTGATCAAAGACAATTGACTTTATTTTAAATCTGTAGGGTATAATGTTTTTGACCCGTCAGTCTGTTTGCTTGTCCATCAGTCTATCTGTCAGTCCTGTTCTTTTCATCACAACTCCTCTGAAACCTCTAGAAGTAATGCTCCTTTGAACATAGAATTTTGGCATAAATATAATGCTGCAACAGTATGTCATCACAACTCCTCTGAATCCACACAACAGCGTTTCATGAAACAATAGATAATAAGAACATAATATGTAGATGTGCATAGCAGCAGGAAAATATGGTTCAATTTTTTGTTGAGCTTGCGACTTCTGTCGCAGAAAGCGAAACATAGGGATTGTGATCTGGAGGCAGCTGCCTTAACTAACTACTTCAAAGCTTAATATTTAAGAAAGGTAGAAGACCTTCATACTTTATATATACTGTAGATGCCTTATGTTATGAAGTTTCCGTCTGTTATATGCCCATTGTCCTTGACCTCATTTTCATGGTTCAGTGACTACTTGAAAAAAAAGTTAGAATTTTTTGTAATGTTAATTTCTCTCTTATTATGAGTACACTTGACGTCAACCTCATTTCATGGATCAGTGAACAGACCTTGACCTCATTTTCATGGTTAATTGCTCAATGTTAAATGTTTGTATTTTGTATAAAAAGGAAGATGTGGTATGATTGCCAATGAGACAACTCTCCACAAGAGACCAAATGACTCAGAAATTAACAACTATAGGTCACCGTACGGCCTTCAACAATGAGCAAAGCTCATACCGCACATGTCAGCTATAAAAGGCCCCGAAATGATTTGTTTTTTATACGACCGCAAACATTATTTTGCTGTCGTATATTGGTATCACGTCATCGTCGTCGTCGTCGTCATCCAAAGACAGTTGGTTTCCGGACAATAACTTTAGTATAATCAAATAGAAATCTGTGAAATTTAAATACAAGGTTTATAACCACAAAAGGAAGGTTGGGATTGATTTTGGGGGGTATGTCCATTAACCATTTTTTTATACATAATTTAAAGCAGTGTAAGGGAGGTAATTCAGAGACATCATTTGAATTACATCCCTTACACTGCTTTTTAATTATGTATAAAAAAGTGGTTAATGGACAATTACTTAAGACAATTTAAAAGAAATGCATATTTATAAAGGAAGACCAGTAAAAATATCTGCAAATGTTGGATATTTTTTTTTACCAAAAAATCCATATGAAAGATTTGACACCATATTTTAAATTCTATTATAAAATAGATTAAGTTTGCACTATGGTAAATTTAAATGGGTAATTATGGTTGCAAACGCCAATGGAAATTTGAATTAAGATTATGACCATATCTTGAGGGAAAGAATTTTTTGGGGGGGAAAAAATGGGGGGAGGTGAAAAACAAATTGGAAGGGGGGGGGGGGGGGGGTAAAAAGAAATTGTGGGGTTGGTCAATTTTTTTTTCATTTCAGATTACAGAAATTTAAAAGAAAAATTCTTCAAATATTATATTTTTGGCAAAAAAGTGGGGGGGGGGGGGTCAATACGCAACTGCATAGTGTATTGCACAAAAGCAAAAAATTGAATATAAATTCAAATCATATAATCAATTTTAAGTTCTTTGACTACAGTTATTCTGTGTCAGAAACCTATTATGTGTCAAATATTTAATTACAATCCAAATTCAGACCTGTATCAAGCACGAATATTGTGTCCATTTTTGCCCCAACTGTTCAGGGTTGGACCTCTGCAATCGTATCCAGCCGCGCTAGTCAAAGCAATTTATTTTAAACTATAAACAAAAGGTCAACAATATTTGGTGTATGGAATGATTGCAAGGTGTATATGTCTGTCTGGCAGGTATCATCTGACCTTCTCTTCATTTTCATGTTTCATCGGTCAATGTTAGGTTTTCCTGGTTAAGTTTGTTTCTTAGATACTTTAAGCAATAGGTCATCTATATTTGATGCATGGAATGATTGTAACGTGTACATGTCTGACTGGCAGGGTTCATCTGACTTTCACCTCATTTTCATGGTTTGGTCTGTTTCTTGTATACTACATTAGCAATAGGTCAACTATATTTGGTGTATGGAACGATTGTAAGTTGTACATGTATTTCAGGCTTGGTTTTTCTGACCTTGTCCTCATTTTCTAAAATCATGTTAAGTTTATGTGATACGTGTGGTAAAAGTTTATACTTAGGACTATCAACATAAAATCAATGGTCAGTAAAGCAGGCGAGGCATTTCAGCGTGTGCACTCTTGTTTCTGAAAGTAATGCTCCTTTGAACATAGAATTTTGGCCTAAATATACTACTGCAACAGTTTGTCATCACAACTCCTCTGAATCCACACTATAGAATTTCATGAAACTTTGTAGATAATAAGGTCAAAATATGTTATTGTGCATATCGGCAGGAAAATGTGGTTCTTTTTTCTCTAGTAGTATTGCTCCTTTAAACAGAATTTTGATGCAAATATACTAGTGCAACAGTTTTTCATCGCAACTCCTCTGAATCCACACAAGATAATTTCATGGAACTTTGCAGATAATAAGAACAGAACATGTTAATGTGCATATTTGTTTTTCATTAATTATTTTGTACATAAATCAGGCCTTTAGTTTTCACGTATGAATTGTTTTACATATGTCATTTTGGGGCCTTTTATAGTTCACTATGTGGTATGGATTTTGCGCATTGTTGAAGGCCGTACAGTGACCTACAGTTGTTAATTTCTATGTCATTTAGTCTCTTGTCGAAAGTTGTCTCATTGGCAATCAAACCACATCTTCTTATTCTTATATATCCATAAGAAATTTTGATCAGTAGACTTTTGTAGGAGTTACGAGTCTTTAAATTAGGAATCTTGTGATATTTTGTTTGCACAGTGACAATGTTGTGGGGTATGTTAGCGTGCTCACAAAGGTTCTTTGATTTTGGAAGACCTAAAAGGAACATTGAGAAATTTACCAATTTGATATGCACCTTAAAGGGGCAAGTACTCAATGTTTTTATCATAATATTTCAATTAGCAAACTATGAATAAAAGGAAATATGGTGTACACATCAAGGAGACAGCAATACAACAAAATGAAATAAGAGATACTTAAATTCATATTATAAGGTAGCCATGGCTATACTGTGTTGTGTTTTCTCAGCAAATTCTGGACCAATGGTTTCTAAACAAAATATTTAATAAACATACCCTAATGTTCCTGGAATTTCAACAAAAAACACTCCTTACCTACTTAAAATAACAATAGAACTTCAGTTTACTGATAGATGCAGTTGAGGACTATGCTAGAAAATGGGTAAAGCGCGAACCAGTCAAACCAGAACTGGACACTTTGTCTGAATGGATCAAAGCTATTCGATCATGCATTCAGAAGCGCATTCAGAAACTACGATGTACTATGAGAACAAGGGTTTCTAACCCATTCAAGAACCCGGAGGTTGTGGATGCTTTATCCTCTTTGCATGACAAATATGTCGTTGTGTTAGCAGATAACGCCTCCAATAATATTGTCTTCGTATGTAAAAACCATTATTTGCAATGTCTCTCAAAAGAGCTTGGAACTAACAGCACAACTGGTAATCCTACCTATTCTTTATCATCATTTACAAATGATGAAGTTTTACAAAATCACAAATCGGTCCTTGTTTCATTTGGTATTAATCTCAAAGAAAACGAAGAAAATCTACCGTCATTATACTGGATACCAAAACTTCACAAAACTCCGTATAAAGAACGATACATAGCTGGATCATCAAGATGTTCGACTAAACATCTTTCTAAAGTGTTGACTACTATTCTTTCTACAGTAAAAGATGGCCTTCAAAAATATTGTGATGAGATATATTCAACAAGTGGTGTCAATCAAATTTGGATTCTCAAAAAATTCTAAAGATCTTCTGCTAAATCTTAGATCAACATTAA